AAACAAACAAACAAACAAACCGGTGCATGATGCATTGATCACCTCTAACATATGCCCTCCATACAAAAATAACTAAAGACCTAAACTAATAAAAACGATGCTAGAATTGAATATTTGTAAACACTAAAAAATAAACTGAAACAAGAAAATCCTCTCTGAAAAAACTAAATAAAAATAAAGTCTAATTGCAAAATACAAAAAATATAACTCTGGCTATTTGTCACAAGCAGATGTTCAGTGTAATTTTAACTCTATTAATAGTGGTTACTACATTATATAAACTTGAGCAGTAACACAAATAAGTATAAGGTAATATATTCAGAAGTGAATGTATTACCTTTGTGTTCCTATTGACACCCTAAAGCAAACTATGTGTTGCAACATGAGCCCTGTTTTTATCCTGTATTTGTTTTTAATATGGAAAAAAGGTATACCAAAGGACTTAGGCATTGTTCTTGTTGTCCATGAGAAATACAACTGTGGTGGGAATGATTTTCTCAGATATCTGCAGGTCAGGAAAACATGCAAGGACAATAGTATTTTTTTTTCCACACATTTATTGTTATGTCTAAAGACAACAAGAAAAACATTCTTTCATGAATATTTCATAGACATTCTCTGTAACTTATAGAGATGGTTGTGTGACCGTCACATCATTCAACCACACTATGTTCAAAGTCACTTAAATCAAATTTCTTTCCCATTGTGATGCTCAGTTTAAACTTCAGCAGGCAATCGTGATCATATGATTAGCTGACTGGATATCTGTGTTAAAGAGCAGTTGAATCGGTGTATGTAATAAAGTGTCTGATTGTTGTACTGCTAGACTGCATTCTCTCTTATTGTGCATGGGATGTAAGCTGTGGTCACTGCAGCCCAACACACTTACAGTTAAATAAACGATGTAGGAAATATTTAATAGATATCCAATCTGGCACTCAACACTGTAATTAACATTGTAACCACAATAATATCAAAGTGACTAAAGCAAACAGAAGACGTGTGATCAGGGTGATTGTGCTTTTGTAAATAACAAAAATGAGCAAGGTTCTCTTATAATGACTCTTTTTTATTTGTAAACAACAACAATGCAAAAACACAAGTGTGAATGAGCACAAACGGTTTTCAGAGGTAAAAAGCAGGACAATGTTCAGCATACAAAAACATTTAATACATCACAAAGCCGCCTCTTTACCTCAGATTTCCACCTCTGCTGTCTGCGTGTCATTACAGCTGCTCGGGTTGACAGAAGTGCAACGACGACTTCATATCAACCCCACTGGGCTCCACATAAATCTGTCTCAAAAAGTCACAAATCAGAGTTTTCCTGCTAATTAAACTCTACGTGGATCGTCTGAGAGGATTTTACTGCTTCACTGACGGTCCGAGAGCAGCCGCCTCCACGCAAACAGCATCATGACAGAAATCGTCACAAGATGAGAGGCCGGCAGAGATTTTCCCAATACACAACAGAACATTCAGGTCATGCTCACACAGTGAGCCTGTTACACGAACACGGTGGCTCAGTCACGCTCTCGCCACATGCTTCACGATGAAAGCATCCGAATATTACACGCAGGACAATACAACGAATTCTCCCTGATGAGGACACGACTGTGCAAAATGTCGAACTCCTGCAGAAACAACCATGCATTGTAAATGTACTTGGAACAAACACCAGGCTGGCTGCTTGTGGTGTCATCAATGATGTGAATGAACAGTGACTCACGAAAATGCGGTGAAAAGACAAAAATAAGCAACAACACTGGTTATTGTTATAATGTGCTTCAGCTGTGAAATCCCTTTTTGTTTGAAGGTACCGGTAGATAAGTTTTGTCCCACTACAGACCAACTCTGTGGACCTACAGACTGCATGTTCCTATCTTATCACTTATTAAGGAAATGTTTTTGCCCATAAATGTCTTCAGTGTTGGATTTGACACAACAACTGTATTCTTCAGTAACTGGTATATTTTGAATCTATAAAATCCTTCAGTACAAACGTCCCTGACATCATTGCAAACACATTTCATCTCCAATCAAAACCTTTGATCACAAGACAGTCAGCGTGCATAAATGAATCGGTGAATCAATAAAGTTCAC